TATGAGCCGTGGACCTAGTTTCCATCTCCTTTTCCATTATCCCCAAAATGACCCCCATATAACCCCATGTAATCCCATATAAACCTTTCCATTTTCTTTTCCATTATCCATATAAACCCTATATAACCCTAATATAATCCCTATCTAAACCATTATAGTAGTTTCCATTTTATTTTCCATTATCCCTACTATAACCCCAATATATAACCCTAAAATAATCCCAATATCATATATACACCCTGGCCCTATTATAATGTAGCAGTTTCCATCTTCTTTTCCATTATGAACTAATTTGGCTCAAAGATGCTGGCTTCGAAGTCCTCACCTGCCAGCAAGTGGCTGAACAGCCTTTTTGTGGTTTTGCAGAACCTTTTGCTTTGAATGGAGATGTTGGCTGTTCCAGCGAAGTCGCGCCGTAACTACTGTTCCATATGTCAGCACTTGTCCTCTAGTTTTATCAATGTGCATATTGGCTCACTCTCAGGTCTTCTTGGACTGGAAGAGATGTGTCTCTTCTTCCAGCAGATGTGCGCTGCTTGCTACAACTGAGCCTTGAAGATACGATTCGCGGGCCTGAGGGGATCCTTGTGTACCCTCAAGCTTGCATTGAGGGCAGCCAGTGCGACCTGAATCATCAGAAATCTTTACATGTAGAGCATTTGGAACACAGGGCTAACGAGGTGGTGAGCAACCTCGACTCAAGACCCTACGCATCAACCGCATGAATCTGTCCCCTGGTATTGATAACCTCCTACTTTGGACTCCTAGTTCCCTAGCACATACGTTAATTATGTGTTTTGGGTACAGCGAAGCTTGGGGGTGGGCAAAATTGAAAACTAGGGGAAGTGATTGGCTCCCACAGAAAAGTCCGGCTTCGCCTGCAAAGTCTGGGACGTCGTTCTGCGCGGGCAGGGCCGGCTGCCCAGGCTGGCCGGACATCGTTTGTTTATGGTTCGCCCAAAGCCATGGAACTCTTTAATGGGTAGTGACAAGGACGCCCTCAAATTCGGGCCTTGCGGTTTTGTGAATATCCATTTTCTTTGACAGACATTGCACCATCTAAGGTTCTTTCGTCTGCATGCTCGGCTGCTCCATTATGCTACAAGAGGCACATGGTGGAAACTGAGTCGTTGCCCGAACAAGCGTTTTTTGGGGATATGATTCTGTTCCTCAGATGAAGGAAGAAGAAACCCACGAGTTTGTGCGATGTCACTGCCGCTGGTAGCATTGTACATGATGTGCCTGGAACACTACAAGCTCCATCTCTGTGCGCCTGCAGCCTCGCCTTTTTGGAGGCGGAGGCGAGTGCCTCGCAACAGTGATGAAGACCGAAGCCGGCATGCGCTAAACTAGCACAAAAATAAGTGTCATGCTTGCTGCATTCTGGAAGCTGAGCAAGCATCTATTTGTGACAAAGCTAGCTTAAAGCAAAGCAGCGGCGGCTGCTGTTGAAGTGTGTTTCAACCACGTGGGTGTGATGACACCACCAACGTTCACCAACTCTTTGAACGCTACGCTGCTGCAGTCCAGGTTGTTGCTTTACATAGCTGCGAGGATACCATCCGGTCAAAAGCTCGAGCCTCGGCGCCCTGCTGCAGTTCCTGCTCGTGCCAGATTGTGGGGAGGGGTGATGTGGGCGACATAGTCCTTGTTATAAGGTACCCAAGGATGGACCAGTGACTCAAAGAAGCCCCCTCACATAGACATGTCCAAACTGTGCCCAAAATAGGTCTTGCAGCATTTCACCAATGAAACGAAAGAGCTCCTGGCACAAAGTTCCGAGATGTTCGTGGATCATCAGTCCAGACTGCTTGCCTCCAATTTGTGCCTGCCCTTCAAACCCCCCCGCATGGGCCGTCCTGCTGCAGCTCCTCAGTCAGCTGTGGGATTTTTCTACCGTTAAGTTCGCACCAAAGCAGATCACAGCGTTGATACATGTGCTCATTGTACCGCAATTCGATACCATATCAGACATCAAAGGGGTGCAATACTTTCGAATGCAAAGCCAAGAGTCTGTGTCCTCTGTCAAGGCCTTGGCTGCTACTCCAGATTTTTTCAAGCTCCAAGTCATGTAATGCCCCCACCCAACAGCAACCTTGATAATAAGAGGGCCAATATTTCACAGCCCACAGCTACTTTTGCACTTCAAACATTCAATGCTGCCATCCGCCAGTGCCCTGCCTCGCTTTGGCAATCTCTTGTGCGAGCCACATGCTGTCCATTGAGAGCCTGGCAGTAATGATGCAGCGGACGGTGTCTTTGCGCTTCTTCAGGTACTCCCGGATGGGTGCTGACCTGAGAGAGCATGCCATGCCTGCGGAGTGCTTGAAGAAATTCGAACACTAGCCGACTGGCTCACAAGTACAAGCCCAACCCACACAAGCTGCACCTGAGGGGAGCACCTGTGGACCCCGCCTCCCGCCCATGCATCCCTATAGCCCTATAACAGCCAGGCCCCGTGCACGCCATCCAGAAGCAGCCCCCTGGGGTCGATGAGCCGTAAGGCCTCGGTTTGCGGGCTGTGGATGTGATTCCAGATGCTACAAAGCTTGTCCTGGATCATAGCGCTCTCCGGCTACATTTGAGCAGCACACGTGAACATTACGTGAACCTTGGTGGTGGAGGTGTGAGCTTGTGCCATGCTTTGTTGTCCGCTATGCAGACCGGATGTTCAGGCGTACAGCCCGAGAAATGCGCCAACCTTGCTGCCCGTTTTTAGACTTCAAGCACGTTGCACTATCCTGCGAGATCCATGTCAAGCCACGAGACTCCTAGACGCGCTTCTTGGAAATGGTGGTGCTTCGCTCCAGCGAATCCTATTCAGAACAAGGCACTTTGATGGTCTTGATGTAAACTTTAATGACGTCACCTGAGCTTGTTTTCTGGCTTTAGGAAGATCTCAGGCAGGATGATGAAGGCACCACATTGCAAGTCAATGAGGGACGGTAACATCCAAACGCAGTTACTGAGCCTTCAGCCCAACGCAAAGACTGAGGTTCGTGGGCAAGGGGCGTGTATGTGCCCCAGCGATAAGAAGACGCCGAGAGATTTGCTCTCGCAAGGCCTTGCAGAAGAGCTTTAACCTTCAGGCCTGCTCTTCATGTAGTGTTATAGCAGCATCTAGAATTGCACTTGTTGGGCAACTTCAGGCTGCGAACAACATCGTACTGGGAAAGCTCCAGAGTGGAATGTTCAATCCGTTCTCTTGCATCCTTGTCTGCTGGGCCCAGCGTTCCGAACAATGTTACAGCCCAAATAAGTTCGCTATGCTCAGCACATTCCACCCTACTACTTACGCAGGACTATGCCGCTTTACAGTGTTGTAATTGTTGCTAGTGCTGCAGTTTACTGCCACTTTTATTTGCTATTACTGGTATTTCCATTCTTCCTCCCCGTGCTGCCTCGACCAGAGGCGCAGCCTGGCCCGTCAGAGCGAGGCAGCGCCTCACTGACTGCGCAGCAGAGGACTTCTCTAGTTAAAGTAGGGAATGAAGTAATGGAAAAGACGATGGAGCAATCATGTACTGCTTAAAATTCTACACTGTAGAATTTCAATTCTACAGGGACTATTGTAGGGATCCATTCTGGCAATCAGTAAGCTACGGGCAATTGAGTTCTGCTGGGTGGTGACAGAACGAGGACTATGTCATGCTGGTGGAGACCCTACGTTTGGG